TGGATTCCCTCTGACTTTCTTTGTACTTATTTTGGGTTTCTTGCTTTAAAAAAAAAAAAAAAACAGGTTTTAAAGGATCCATTCAAATTTGTTTTTAAAAGGTATATACAGTTGCAAGAAAAAGTATGTGAACCCTTTGGAACTTCTTAGTTTTCTGCATAAATTGGCCATAAAATGTGTTCTGATCTTCATCTAAGTCCCAACAATAGACAAATACAGTCTGCTTAATCTAATACCACACAAACAATTATATGTTTTCATGTTTTTATTGAACAGAACATGTAAACATTCACAGTGCAGGGTGGAAAAAAGTATGTGAACCCTTGGATTTAATAACTGGTTGACCCTCCTTTGGCAGCAATAACCTCAACCAAACGTTTCCTCTAGTTGCAGATCAGACCTGCACAACGGTCAGGAGGAATTTTGGACCATTCCTCTTTACAAAACATTTTTTCAGTTCAGCAATATTCTTGGGATGTCTGGTGTGAATCGCTCTCTTGAGGTCATGCCACAGCGGGTTGAGGTCAGGTCTCTGACTGGGCCACTCCAGAAGGCGTATTTTCTTCTGTTGAAGCCATTCTGTTGTTTACTTCTGTGCTTTGGGTCGTTGTCCTGTTGCATCACTCATCTTCTGTTGCGCTTCAGTTGGTGGACAGATGGCCTTAAGTTTTCCTGCAAAATGTCTTGATAAACTTGGGAATTAATTTTTCCGTCGATGATAGCAATCTGTCCAGGCCCTGATGCAGCAAAGCAGACCCAAACCATGATGCCCCCTCCACCATACTTCACAGTTGGGATGAGGTTTTGATGTTGGTGTGCTGTGCCTTTTTTTCTCCACACAGTGTTGTGTGTTCCTTCCAAAGAACTCACCTTTGGTTTCATCTGTCCACAGGATGTTTTGCCAGTAGTGCTGTGGAACATCCAGGTGCTCTTTTGGAAACTTCAAACATGCAGCAATGTTTTTTTTAGACAGCAGTGGCTTTCCCTGTGGTGTCCTCCCATGAACTCCATTCTTGTTTAGTGTTTTACCTATCGTAGATTCGTCAACAGAGATGTTAGCATGTGCAAGAGATTTGTCTAAGTCTTTAGCTGACACTCTAGGATTCTTCTTCACCTCATTGAGCATTCTGCACTGTGCTCTTGCAGTCATCTTTACAGGACGGCCACTTCTAGGGAGAGTAGCAACAGTGCTGAATTTTCTCCATTTATAGACAATTTGTCTTACTGTGGACTGATGAACATCGAGGCTTTTAGAGATTCTTTTGTAATCCTTAATGCAAGTCAACAATTCTTAATCGTAGGTCTTCTGAGAGCTCTTTTGTGCGAGGCATGGTTCACATCAGGCAATGCTTCTTGACAGTAGCAAACTCAAAACTGGAGTGTGTTTTTTATAGGGCAGGGCAGCTTTAACCAACACCTCCAATCTCGTCTCATTGATTGGACTCCAGATTGGCTGACTCCTGACTCCAATTAGCTCTTGAAGAAGTCATTAGCGTAGGGGTTCACATACTTTTTCCACCCTGCACTGTGAATGTTTACATGTTGTGTTCAACAAAAACATGAAAACATATAATTGTTTGTGTGGCATTAGTTTAAGCAGACTGTGTTTGTCTATTGTTGAGACTTAGATGAAGATCAGAACACATTTATGACCAATTTAATCAGAAAACTAAGAAATTCCAAAGGGTTCACATACTTTTTCTTGCAACTATATTTGGGCTTGCCTTCAATTAGAGATAGGACATAAGAAGAGTCAGAAATCAGGGGGGAAATTACATGTGGGAATATCAGGAATAGCCATAAGTCTGTCTAAACTGTTGCTTTGTTGTTGCTCAGTTTGTCCTTACTCATCAGTCTTTCTGACACTTCCTCTATCCACTTTTGAAGCTCAACATGCTTTTTGTAGAGTGCTTCAGCATAAAATTTGTTGTAATTTGGTGTTGTTCAAATAAAACTGACCGATGTATCAAAATTCTCTATGCTATGTTGGCAGAAAACACGTGTTTTATAACTTGCTTGCTTTTGCACATTTTAGTCAGATATCAGAGTCTGTAGTCTGTCAGGCCTGTAGGACTGCCGCCGTGTACTGAGTTGTGACCATTAGACACTTATTAAAGCTGGAAAAGCACATCAACCTCCCAACAAGAGACTCTGCAAGCAAAAACAACGTTTATGTTTGTCTGGTGTCCAGCAGTGCTTAGTTTGCCTCATCACACACACCAGAAGATGTAAAGTGCTTGACAAGTACACCAAGAGACACAGCTCACCACTCACAAATACACACACTCACACTCCTCATATCACTCTCATCGGGACTGTGTGTGTCCTGTGTTCTGCAGATCTCAGTGTGAGTCTCTTTTTCGGGTTTTTTTTTCAAGGCGGCCATCTCTGCACGGCCTAGCCATCTGTTCTCCATGCTGTGGAACACGGAGCTCCCTCCGGCTGCAGGCATTTTCACACGGTGGCAAAAATTCTCAATTGGAGTAAGAAAAAAACAATAACAATACGCAGGACCAAAATGATTCAGGCTGTTTTTTTTTTGGGACACGTTTGTTACCAAATGTGTTATTTTCCAATTTAGTTTTACAAACCTAGTGTGTGAAAGTGTTTCAATACTTTTTATGTGTTCTTTTTGGGGGTCTTTATTCCTTATTTTGATAGGACAGCTGAAGAGAGACAAAATGTTAGGAGGAGAGAGTGGGGGATGCAGCACAGGCCCAAGGTCGGATTTGAACCCATGGCCGCTGCGATGAGGGCTCAAGCCTCTGAACATAGGGCGCACTATGCTATGTGACGCACCAAGTGTTTCAATGCTTTTGAATGCTTTTGTCTTAATGTGTGCTTTGATCGTAGGAGGAAGAGAAAGAGTCTGCTGTTCTCGTTTCCGTGGAACATTAGGATATTTTTAAGTATCTCTGAGAGTGCCAGCTGTGAGTAGGTTCCCACAGTTAAACCAGTGGTGAATTCATCTGTTTAACAAGGAAGGAAGTGTGAGTGAGTTTGTTGTTACGTTTGTGTATTTGTGTTTTCCTGTCCTCTCAACAAGCCAATTATCCTATTAACACAGCTTGCCACCTGCTACGGTGAGACATAAAAAGTAACAGAACCACACGGGAAAGCTGTTAGCAATGACTCTGTTGACTGAGAGACAGTGTTTTTCAAATGAAAACTTAGTTTGTGAAGAACTCCCAGGGTTCATTAAGGAAATAGATTAAAGTGTCTGCATGTACAGGAGACAAAATGTCTTTAATCGCGTATGAACTTTGAAGCATCCATCTCCTATCACTTACTTGGATCTGTGAAGCAGAGGGGTAGTAAAAGGACGACCTCTGACCTCCACCACCTCATGTGGTTATGGGATACGGAGATGTTCTCAGGTAAGATGGGACTCATAATGTCTCCAGTGTGTTCCACTTCTGCTCGCCAGTAGTAAGTGTCAAGAATACAGACAAAATTACTCATGCAGGAAGCATGAAGGTCTACACTAGTGCTCTGCAAGGCCTGTAGGTTCTTGGAGTTCTTTTTTAATTCATTTTTAAAGCTACAGTTTATATTAAATCTAACCTTTATGTGTCTTAACCAGCTTGCCTTGGAGTGGTTAAAGTGAGTAGGTATCGCCATGTATGTACAGCATGAATGTATATACAGTGAAGGATTCACAAGTCGATAAACAATTTAGCAAACGGGTAAATAATTGGCTTTCTGAGCATTTTTTTTTTATCTATGGAGTATAAATTATTTTAAGTTTTTCAATCTGATGAAAAAAATAGCATTACATAGCAGATCTTATCAGTAGACTTCCAGCAGAGCCATCGCTTTGGCTGGATTTGATGAATCTGTAGGGGAGGAGGATACCTAAATTCAATGACGCACACACGCAGACACACACACAAACGTAGGGAGAGATGTATGAACAAGAACATACTCAGGCACCGATCTACACAGACACATGCGTGAGTGCACGTCTACATAAACACACAAATACACACACACGGTGTGGGCATCTCAATACTTCCATCTGTTAAAGCAGAACTGCAGTTTTGTCTTAATGAGAAATAATGAGCCTTCACTAAACAACAACAGCTTGGATGAATTTCACCTCCACTCCACATTTGATTAAAATAGCATGGACTCATAGTTCATGCAATGTAATGAAATATGACATTTAGTGAAGTACAATAGTTCATAGTTCATACTCTAAGTTACAAAATCTATTTGTTTAAACAATAAATGACAATTTTCTGAACTTGGCTAAAGTTACTCACCTTTTCCATGCCAGTTCGACATCAGCTGAGCATCACAGGTCCAGAATAATGTAGGCTACTGGTCATCACTAGAACCTCTTCTTTTGAGAAGCTGGTATCGTAACTTTACATATTGCTGTCGACACTGCTAACAGGTGATACAGTTTAAAGAGTGATCATGTTAGCTGGCAGCAAGAATACTCACGAATAACTCTTTGGTTTTTTTTCATTATTAATCAAATTTAACTCATCAGATACATACTGAATGTAAGAATTTTCTACAGCTCAGAGGCAGACGGCTAAAAGTCACCAATTAACATGGTCACACGTTGAACCCAAACTCCTGCAGATCATTGAGAGCCCTTCTCGTTCATGCGCTGACTTGCAGGTTTGTTAACCTCTGAATTTCACTGCTCCAATAGACCCTCGATTCATTTTGCTGGTATGTTAACTTGATATCCAGCGTCCCACAATGATAAGTGGCTAGTACGTTTGACATTGGTTTACCTATGAAGGCCGTTAAAGGAGGCTGTGACTTAACTGCGTAAGGACAGCACTGCGTTGGTGTGTGCTTTGGGCCGATTTGCAAAATAGCAGTGTGAACACAAAATAAGCCAAGGAGAAAATGCAACAATGTGACATTTCATCATCTGTGTGGGAACAAAGCAAACCAGCTTGTAGTGTGAAAACACTTTTATCTACTTTACAAGTCTGTTAAACACTGAGCAGTGTAAAAAAATATATTTTACATAGAAACTAGTTTGAGTTCTTTATTAACAAAAGACTTTTTTTTTTTACACAATCTCCTTGTAAGGTTAAGCACAGGCCATGATTCAAAGAAGATACAAAAAGAAAAGAACATTATCAATAGAGTTTGTACATCTTTTCTTAAAAGCCATATCTAATATTGTATTATTACATCTCTGACAGCTGATTCAGCTGTCAGCAACAAAAACAAACAAAACAAAAACAATGTGTGAGCTTGTGTGTGTGGAAGTGTGTGTGTGTGGTCCTACAAAAAACAGCAGGCATCAAGTCAGGGAATCCAACTGGCCTTGCACAACTTCAAGCTGAAAGAGAGGGCAGACAAAGGTTCAGTGTTTGAGGGGGGAGTACACAAAGAAATACACACAAAGACAAAGATAAGAGAGATAGACAAATTGTATCAAAGAATGACGCAGACAGGATGCACATTGGTTTTGTAAGGCAATGTCTGCCAATCAGGATGAAACGGAACGAGAAAGATAGGCAATGAAAACGCCGAGACATGTACGCAATGTGACATGAAGGTGCGTGCAAACACACACACGCACACAAACAGACACACACTTGAAAAAAATAACAGACCTTGTTGTAGAACTCAAGTAGCTCCTGGTGGTTAAAATCAGCAAAGACATTTTCCTGAACCTAAGAGAAGAGAGAGAGATAGATCGGGTTAGAGAGGCATGATAGAAACTGGAACACACACACAAAAAAAAGACGAAATTCAGTTCAGAAATATGAGATCAGCAGGGCAGACGACAAAAAGCAGCAGTAAGAGCACATGCTGAAGAGTCGTTTTATTGTGCTTTCAATAAAAAACGTCATGAATTATTGCTGCTCTCCGGCCAGTACAAACTATCCTCTCAGTCGTATCCATCAGGAGAGTTTAAAAATACTCTGCGGGAACATTCGATGTCCATGATCGCATAGTGGGAAAGCCCATCACTGTCTGTTTGGCTTACTTATAAAAAGAGAATGGCTCAATCATGTGTGATGAATAATACAATGATGACGCACAATACTTAATTTGATAATGCTGCTTTTTGACACATGAAAGCCAGTCAATTAATACGGCGAGTTTCTTCTTCTTCTTTTAAGTAATGTATTAATGTTATGAAATAGAGAAAACGTTATTACATGTTATAAAAACCAGTTTCCCTCTGAGTGAACAGACACGGAGGGGTTTGACAGTCAAACTGCTGCTAACATCAGCGCAGCTTGTTTTTGGCAGCTGAGCTTGCTTTTGGGTTTGGAAACTCTAAAGTGTTCATCGTCCATGAGGCTTTCAGAGGTAGCCAAACTATCTGCACCTCAGCTTCAAAACAACTTGACCTGTTAGAAGAAGTCTGTCGCTGCCGGCCAATCTGCACTACCATTATGTTATTTGGTGTTTGCTACAATCTTTGGTCAGGGAACAGTCATACAGTATTTGGAGGGCAGCGAATTCAAGTACTCTTTGAAACCTAATCTTTAAAATTCTTGCTAGAGTAGAGTTATTTCAACATAGAATAAAAAGGGACAGGAAAAACATTCCCTGTAATAATGTCAGGCAATAAATCCATGTTAATGTAAACAAACCCACTCCATCTTTAATTTAATGGAATATGAATCTTGTGCCTACAGAAGCTGGGATGTTTGATTAAGATTTGTGAACACTGCTCCAACTTTTTTTCATGTTTTACATTCGTTTTCAGTTCAATAATACATGATGTGTCAACTCTTGAAGAAAGTTTCTTTTTAACAATGCATTATTAATGATTACATTATTACATGATTATCCTTGAGCCGTTTTTTTCCTGGAAAAAAGAAAACTATCATGGCGCTCTGTAGACAAACAAAAGAAACCAAGGGCAACCATCACTGGACTGCCACCACCACAATACAGTCCCTATGAATGTTGACATAATGGCGAAACACACCAATCGCTGAGAAAATAGCTGTGATATGTGTGCTTTCCAGGTAACACAGAATGAAAAGGGCAGCCTTGTATACAACAGAAGTGCGCTTTGTGTTGTAAGAAAGGCTGCTGATAATAGCAGCTTATCCCTGCCACCAACTAGGAGGGAACAGTAGGACAGAAAGAAAGAAAAGATGGAGGGTAAATTCACACAAACAAATAGAAACACACTAAAACCACATGAAATATCTGATGGCACACAACAGTAGCTCCCCTCCCTGCAGTTTGGTGCTTAGAGACTACATGGCGCTCTGGGGCTTGAATCTAGCTGGTTGGTTGGTTTGCTGGGTGGGTGGTTGAGTGAAGGAGGCCATGTGTCAGAGCAAATTAATGACAGAGATATTAATTAGAAGCAACGTTTAAAGTCCATAAAGCAGAGCACAGAGGGAAGATGTTAGCTCGTATCAAAGCCGCGCCGCAACACGAGGAGAATGTAGGACAGCTTTGAGTTTAGCTACAGCAGAGGGGGAGCACTGCGAGGGCAGGCAGGTAATAAAATAAAGTTACAAGTCTTGTTACCATGTGAGATACGATTAAAAAAAAAAAAAGATGCACATCAAAGTAGTTCTACAAGGTCATGAATTATTTCCCCAATAAACAAGGTTTGGATTTGGAAGAAAAACTGAGCATGCAGTGAAATTAGCTGAATGATGACACTCCCGCTGCTTTCAACCACTCAGATCTGATTCTCAGTTCTCACAACTCAGTTTTCTATTGATCTGCACAGTGGAAAACACTCTTATAATGAGAGCGAACCAGCGCTGTATAATCAGTTTATTTGGGTTGATGGTCTTTGGTGTGCCTTGGGTCACGATGACTATACGTCAGCAGGGTTGGGAAATAGACAGAAATACTTGACTGCTAACTGAACTCTCTCTATTATTGCCAGAGGTGAGCAAGGGGGCAATCAAAAATGCTGTCTGAGGAATCAGATGTCTATCAAAAGTGTGATACAATAACTTGAAGTCAACATCCTTGACGCTAACACTTGGAGTTGAGGATGAAAGTGTGTTTTTGGGTTGGTGAGAAGTGCAGATCGACAATGTGTGATGTTGAGAACTTCCAGGTACACTACGGTTTGTGTGTGTGCTACAGAGAAACAGTTTTGTCTTGAGAAGATATGCATAAATATGTGTGTGTGTGTAAAGCCCTTCCCATTGTTCCTCAGGGCTGAGATTTTGCCAGGCAGTAACCCACCAAGGCTCTGACAGATCTAGGCTAACACTAATGGGGATAGGATGTATCATCCTCATCATCACAGCCCTCCACTACAAGTATGCAAATACATACACACAAACACACACACACTTCTTATCTGTCTTAGTGCCAAAATCCAGTGTGTCAAGATTCAGAAAACAGGATTAACCCATGAAGATAATCATTAATTCGCTTGCATCTGGCGTTCCATATGAGCTTCATGTTCGTGTTTCATCACCATATAGGTTACACACTGTGGGAGGGAATCAAATGTATAACACAGAATAAACTACAAAGGAAAAATAAACTTACAACTGGAATTCTTTGAAAATATTTCCAAACTTCTTCAAAAGCTGCAAGAAAGTGGGACTAAATGTTCTAATGCAGCCCAGGGTGCAGGCCTAATAACTTTCCAGAAGGTTGCTGGTATAATTTAACTGATGAGCCAAGAAATTAATCAGGGGATAAAAGTGAAAGAAGTTCTATATGGATTACAGCGTAAGCCCTCAGTCTCACATTGGGGAAATCACAATTTGAAAAATCTGATTTATTGTAACCAGGGTTTTATATTCTCTAGTCTTCTTCGCTATAGATAATAATAACTGCTCATGTTCATGAAATTGGAGATAATGACAACATAGCTAAAAATGTATCTCTATTTCTTGAAAAACAAAACGAATCACTGTAATTTGTTATTAACCAAAACTAAAAGTGATAAAGGTTTGCTGCTTCAACTGTGAACTCCTACTCTTTGGATTGGATATGGACGACTTAGTTTTACTTTAAAACCAAGAGGTGGATATTCCTGACTCGCATGGTAGGACTGTGGTTATCTCAGTTTGCTGCTTGGTTCTGATACTTTGGCCCAGTGTGAAATATTTAAACAATTATTAGCGTGGGAGTTTTGACCTTTATAGTGACCAGAGGATGAAGAAAACGATGAATCCTAATAGCATGGGTCCCCTGACTTTTATCTGAAGCCACAGGCTCTTCAAAGTCCCCACTAACACAGTGACATATCTCTATCTATCGACAATTTGGATTGGAGGATATTTTGGGCTTTTTCTGGACTGCAGCCAGCCAGTTGGCATTAGTTTAGAGTTAAAGATCTTTAAATCTGGTTCAAATGAAGGTTCAGGTAATTTGGAGCACAAATTCATGATCTTGAGGTAACCTACTTTTTTAATATTTCTCTTTTGGGCCTCATATTGAATGGGCTTCATTCAATATGAAATTAGGGAGAGAGTGGGGAATGACATGAAGGAAATGACATGCAGGAAAGGAGCCGCAGAACTTTGATGGTTCCCTGACTTTTCATATATGGCCATTATCAAGTAAGACATTTTACTTCATCCAGTACTTTGAGAATTTCTACTACTTTCTACTTTCTGTCTTATTTGACAAGCATAAGCTCTTATGACACTCTCTTTTTTTGTGACTTTAGAGGCTGGAACCATATTTTAATTGCTTATTTCTGCTGCAAAAACTTGGCATTTTAACGTGGGGCATTATGGAGCCAGTTTTAAGTGAAAACTTGATGAACTTTTTTGCACTTTCGAAATTGTGTGTTGGTATAGAGCAACTAGCTTGGTACTATTAGGCAGTAATCTTTTCTTATTCTGTGTTCAAATGATTTAATAGAAAGATAAATCAGTTGGTGCTTTTACAATGCCCAACACCAACGTACAGTGTAAAAGGTTTTTTAAACACCCCATGCTTCATGCTGGACAAGTTTAAATCCGAATGCAAAATGAGTATCTGGAAACCTCTCTGTCTCTATGTTTAGAAGCTTTGCTCCATTACACTTAGTAATAGGGATGTGTTTCTACACCTCAGAAGTGATTGCATCCAACATATTGATAGAAAAAGACCTTCAGCAGAAAATGCCAAATGGCACTGATTTTTTTTCTCCCAAATAAGAGGTGCAAAACTGTAAAAGTCAACACTTCCTTAAGTGCAGAGAGAAACTCCCCTGGTGTATTCAAGACGAACAACCTGTAACTGCTGCATTTATGCGAAGAGGAGACCAATTTTATGATTTTAAGCTGCAGGAGTTTTCTGTTCCAGGAACATCTGAGCACTACCTGGATTTCAGTTGAAAAGAGAATGACACATTCAACAAGTGATACTTTTATCCCTTCAAGTGGTTAGTAGTGTCAGTAATGTTAGTTTGTATAAGACCAAGGTGTACTGAGTAGAAGTATCTCATAACACCAGCATGTCTTAATGGCGCCAATGGTTGGAAGTAAATAGGCACTCTGTCAGTTATTTGAATCAGTGCAATAAACAGCAGCTTTTTTTGCTTAGTGCAACCCAAAAAATAAATTGTTTACTTCTTCACGTATAGAAAGTCAGGAAGGGCAAAGGAAAAGGGAGTATCGTAAATATGACAAGAAAGAGCGATCAACAAAAACTGAGAGGGGAGGTGAGAAATGGATGTAAGAAGCGGCAAAGAAAAATACAGAACAAACCGGGGAAAGTGGAGAAACAT